GTTGAAGGAGGTTGCAGATGGGGGAGAGAAGGGAGGAAGGGGGGGGGGGGGGGGGGAGGGGGGTAAGGGGTGGGGGGGGTGTTATGAGTGTGGGTTCGCGGGGAAGGGGGGGGGGGGGGGATTAGGGTGGGGAAGTTTATTGGAAAGGGGGTTGGGGCTTAAAAGAGGATTTTTAGTTCGGTGATGCAAGTCTTTCACTACTGTGATCGAATTCGATTTACATTTTTTTGCTGTACATATACAGTAATTAGCTTTATAGAGATTTTTTTTCTTTTTAGTTCCTTTTTTTCTGAAATCGTCCAATTTTTCCCTTCTAAACCAGTTACCCTAAGTATAGATTTCTGGATTTATTAGCTGAAATAAAGTTTACTGTTTTAAGTAAATTAAAAAAAGTATATAAACGGACGCTTCACTTTTTAGGCTTAACCGGTACAAATGAGTCATTATTTGACAGGATACAATGTCAACATAATTGTCCCGGACAATGAAAGTAGACAGTGCACAGATAACCAGTGTCCGTAGAGCGGGGTTGACGTTGTTCTTATGCACCTATCAATGTAAATCCCTTGGGGGGGGAGTGCGGGCCAGGGGCGGGGATTTGATGCCTGAGACTATCCCCCTGTCGGGCTTTTGATCGTGCGAAGCGACTCCGGGGTCGGGACATTTGACTTTGACCGATAGAAGCCTGGTATCAATTCAGAAGCGGTAACCAAGTCCGTCCCTCGAGGCTTTCTGAAAGTCACGCTGTTGGAGAAAGTTATGAAGTTTTTATTTGTTTTAATGGCCATAATCCGATACTTTACACTGTCATCTAAACACATAATGTCTATTTTGAGAAAGTTTTTATCTTCAAGTTCTTATCTGATTGTAAACCTCGATTGAAATCGAATTCTACCATGAAAGTCAGAGGATTTTTAGAGGTCACTGATCCGACCTGTTCCGACACGTTGAGCCGATGTTATAAAGCATTTTACGTTTCATTAATATAATAGCACGGTCAATCTTCCTGGAGTGATTATGTTGTTCAAAATAAGAGATGCTAGTGGAGAGAGAAAATACTTAATTACAGCGAGTAATTTAACGGAGCCTACGTTAACCTTAAGTAAAAGTAGTAAGAACGTACTTTTGAAATGTTCTTTCATTCGTTTTATATAGTATTATAGTATTGTTTGTTCACATTTTTCCCCTGGGGTGGGGTTTTTTTGACACTTTTGATTGACCTTTCGTTTCCCACCCTGGGGAATTTGATCAAAAAATTTTAAAATTTGTCAAATCCCCACCCCTTGCCCGTACTCCCCCCCCCCCCCCCCCCCCNCAGTGTCCGTATTAAGCTAGTTGATTTTAGGACCAATATGTGAGCTTTTCGTCGGGACAAACAAGATCGGCTACGAGAGGCTTTTCAGGTAGAAAGTAGAATTTTCTGAAGTTGAGAAAATATCGCTTAACTTTGTGATCTAAAGCAAATCGTG